TCAAAATCTCAGTAACATTTTCCATCCACACTCACTAGGATGACTATACTAAAAAAAAGATGGGTAATAACAAGTGTTGGAGAAGATGTGGAAAAACTGGAACTCCATCTCCTGCTGGTAGGAACATAAAACAATGCAGCCACTTTGGGAAACAGTTACTCAGGAGGGTAAAATAAACATAAGGGTCACCATATCTCTCAGGAATTCAATCCTAGGTGTATATCCAAGAGAAATGAAAACATGTTCACAAGTGTTCACTTGTACATGAACATCCGTACCAACGCTATGATAAAACATAGAAGCAACCCAAATGTCTGCCCGCTGACGAATGGATCAACACAATGTGCTGTCTATACAATGGGATATTATTATTCAGCCATAAAAAGGAATAAAGGGCTGAGGTGTAGCTCAGTGGTAGAGCACTTGTCTAGCATGTGCAAAACCCTGAGTTCTATCTCCAATACCCGAAAAGAAAAAAAAAAAGAATGAAATTCTGATACTTGCTAGAAAATGAATGTATCTTGAAAGCATTCTGCTAAGTGAAGATGCCTGTCACCAAGTACCACACAGTGTCTGATTTCATTTATATGAAATGTCCAGAGATAAGGAATTCTAGGGCCAGGGATTTAGCCCAGCGGCACAGCATCTGCCTGGCAAGCATGAGGTCCTGAGTTCGATCCCTGGTACCAAAACAAAACAAAAAAACCCAAGGAATTCTATAGCATCAGAAAGGAGGTTAGTGGGCATGGGATTTAGCTCAGTGGTTCTGCCACCTGCTCCGCAAGTGCAAGGGCCCAAGTTTGACCCCCAGTACCAAAAAAAAAAAAAAGCCAGAAAGGAGGTTAGTGCTTACCTGGTGCTGGGGTTGGGGTGGGAAGACAGAGGTGCTGACCAAGGGGTGTGGAATTTCTTTTGGGGGTGATTAAAATCCTCTAAAATTGTAGTGACAGGTGCCCTGCTCTGTGAATATACTAGAAAGTACTGAATTGCACACTTTCAAAAGGTGAATGGTATTGGTACGTAAATTACACCTCAAAAAAGCTACTCACAGAAAAGGATACCCAGGGCTTGGAGAGGGGTGCAAGTCTGTTTTTGCCACTCCTACCCTGAGTCTGTCCTTGGCCTCTCTGCCCCTTTGCTGGGGCTGGGACTTCCCCCTTTTGTCTAAATTCTCAGTCACAGGTGGGGCGGGTCTCCTCTGGGGCCTCTGCCCCCCAAAATCTTTAGTTTGTGGAATGTTGGGGCCTTAGAATTTCCAAGTTCAGTGGAGATCGTGGACAACGGGGGGTATTTAAAGGGTCCAGGGGGAGACTGACCCCAGATGGGTTACCCACCTCTGGGGCAGCAGGAGAGAAGGGTTAGGGGCACCCTAATGTGAGAAGGTGGGGGAGAGAGAACTCGAGGAGGTCTGGACACAGCCCTGACTTCTCCATGTAAGGAGGTTTTGAGGGTCACCTGCAGAGCTGTAGATGGCTAGTGGGCCGCAGTGCTGCCAAAGTCACCACCCCCACCTTGTAGAGCTCATGGTTTTATAAGGCTATAATCAAGACAACAAAATAAGAATCAAAGACAAGAGTCCTTGGGACAAGTTGTGTGTACACCGTTCCCAGCCCATCCTTATCAGGGACTCACTGTCTCAGCAAGCTCTGCTCAGCCGCAAGGTTGGGTGACCCTGATCTGCCACACGCTCAGCCCTGGTGAGCCTGCTGGACAATGCACTCTGGCTTGAGGCCTGGGAGGGCTGCTCTCCTTGCAGACCTGGAGCAAGTTTCTTGGCCTCCCAGAGACTCCTTTTCCTCAGATCATTGGGAGAAGGAGGAAAATGTGTGGGTGCCTTACGCATGGCCAGCTCTCTGTTTTGCTGTGGCCCCTCCTTGCCAGACCCTGCCTTGCCTCCCCCTGAGCCAGGCCCTCCACCCTGCAGTCTCCACTGGGGCTGCGAAGTGGCAGTGAGATAAAGGGCTTGGTGAGACCCCGATTCAGTTTCTCCTGTGCAAACACTGCAGCTGATGCCCCTCACTTGGAGCCCTTCTTGACCCCCGAATGATGGACAACAGAAACACTCAGATGGACACAGAAGACAGGACTGAGGATACAGGGCTCCAGCCACATCCTGTGCTGAGTCCCACAAGACAGAGGGCTGATGACTCCACCATGTCAGCCGTCAGCCAGGTATTGACTTCACCTCATGTTCTGACACCTCCACTCCCAGCTGGCCTCTTTCCTTTTCCTTGCCCAGGCTTCCTCCCCAACTGCCTAAATTAAGACTATTACACTTGACACAAAACCCGCTTCAAACTGAATGGGAAGCAGAAATAAGAATATATTACTTGCTTAGGTAACTAAGAAATCCATTATAGCTTTCAGGTATGGCTGGATCAAGGTGCTAAATGAGTATCTCTTGGCTGTCTTTCCCTGTGTTGAGTTCATTCTCAAGCAGGCTTTCCCTGCGAGGTGACAAGGACTTCCCTGGCCACCTCAGGCTTCCATCTTCTTATTTTACATCCTCTGACAGCATCCTCAACAGGAAGATAGCCCCTGCACAACAGTTGAAGCAAGTCTCTGGTATCACTCTCATTGGCCAAGATTGTGATCACATACTCATCCTTGAGCCTGTCACCATGGCAATGGGGAGTGGCCTGGATTTCTTGGTACGGTGGAACCTGAGTTGCTAGTTGGCTCCATTGAACCTCATGGAGCCTGTGGCGAAGGGAAAGTTCCCACAAAAAGAAAGCTTGCTTCTGTAATAGGAAGATGCTGGAGAGCAAACCAAGGATCTCCTACTTATTCCAGCAGGTCCCCTCCATGGCTGCCAGCCCCCCTCATAACCCTTATTACCCTAGCAGCTACTCAAGGTCATTCACACTCCTCCCTGGCCCCAGCCTGCATCCTAGGCTTCTGTGTTAGTCAATGTTCCACCCTATAACAGATAACTGAGGGGCTGGGGATTTATTCAGTAGCAGGCCCAGTATTGAAAAACAAACAAACAAAAAAGATACCTGAGACAATTGACTTATAAAGAGAAAAGGTTTCCTTTCACGTCTACAAGCAGTCCAGGAACAAGTAGTAGACATTTCTGCCCTTCTGTGTTTTGGACACGGTGAAACTGCATTGTAAGTGGGTTGCTGGTACCCAAAAGCTGTGACATGCAGACATCCTGCAGCTGTTTACATGAGTGTCACCATCTTCCACAAGCTGAAGTCTTTTTTGTCTTGTCTTTATCTTTCACATATTCTAGTGTTCATTAGACTAAATGTTCACAACTTCCTAAGACTCACCTAGAATTTGCCTGTTGGATTGAATGGTATGTGTTTTGGGATGGCCCGGACAGCTACATACCAAGCTGACAAAGAGATCCTGATCAGGATCAGAAATACTTTGATTTTCAGTTAAATTACAAGGCAGCTCTGGTTGAGTGGAATAGAAAGAAGAATGCATATTTAAATTATTTAATATTATTTCACTAGTGAAGACCAATTGGTGGGTTTTTAAAAAAGCTCTTTGTTGTCCTTTTTCATCTTACAATTTTATAATGTTTCCCAATTCTCCTGGTTTTAACATGAACAACAACAAAAAAATTATGTTAGGTCTTTGTATGTATCATAAACATCATGTTGCACTGTCTCATACATTATATATCCAGTAGTCTGTGGAAAAAAAAAAAAGAAAGAAAAAGAAAACATTTATACTGGCTTGCAGTTTTAAATGTTTCAGTCCATGTTCTGAGCCCCATGGCTTCCGGCCATCATGGAAGGTGTTTGTGGCAGAGCAAAGCCACTCACCTCTTGACCAGGAAGCAAAAGAAAGAAAGAGGAAGAAGGGTGTGGCATTTGCCCTCATTGCCCTCAAGAGGGAAAGCGACACCCACAGTGACCCAAAGATCTCCCATTAGGCTCTGCCTCCTAAAGTTTCCACCACCTCTCAATGGTGACACCCTGGGGAGCAAGTCTTTTCCACACAGGCTTTGATGAACACTTATCCAAACCATAGCAGCATCCACAAATCTCCCCAATCTCTTCCAATCTGTTCTGTCTCTTTTTGCAAGTGCCAAGTTGCATGTGCTGAAGACATAGAGAACCCCATCCTCCACTTCTAGCTTCCTCAGAGCCAGTGTCACTGCAGGGTTGTGGGTGCAGATTGAGGTAGAGCAGTAGTCAGCTTGTGCAGGGACCTGGGTTCAATCCCTGGCATGGAAATAAAACAAACAGTTGACCCAGGCGTGGTAGCTCTTGGGAGGCTGAGGCAGGAGGGTTTCTGTGAGTTTGAGGCCAGTCTGGGCTACATAGTGAGTTTAAGGCCAGCCTGAACTGCATAGAGAGACCCTGTCTCAAAAAAAAAAAAAAAAAAAAAGCCAACCAACCTATCAAACAAACAAACAAAAACCAGTCCAAGTGAGAGAGCCTTGGAGGAAAGCTAGGAACATCCTGGTCTTCCTTCCCCACCCATTCATTTTCCCTCAAGCATAATTGTGGGGTCCCTGTCCTGCACTTAACAGTCTATGTGGCCTTGGGAATGTCACTGTGCCCCTCTGAGCTTCACTTGTTTCCTGTGGTGGAAAGCATGTGCCCCAGGCCCTGCCGCTGGTGGGTGCTCATTTGCCTTGGCTCCATCAGAATCTTTTATTATAACAAGTTAATCATTTAATGCATGGAGTCCCATCAGTCATTAGGGCTGGGGGTCGGGTCTAAGTCACTGGCTCAAGGTCACTCAGTTGGAGAGAGAGACTGAGGTGGCAGTGGAAACGCCCTCGGTAACAGCTTCCAAGTGGCCAGGCCTGCACCCCAGCCTCTCTCTAGTCCTTCCCTAGTAAGCCCCAGGATGTCCCTAACCCTGAAGCCAGGAGCCCCCCTAGAGGATTGGGGGGGGGTGTCGGTCCAGCTGGCCCTGAGCCAGCACCATGAAAGTCTTTTTGCTACAGGCGAATTTTCCAGATGCCACAGAAATGGGCAATGAGAAGCAGCTTTCATCAGCTCTAGGAGGGCCAGAGAAGGGACCCAGACATGCAGAAACCTCCAAGGAGGGGGACTCAGAGCTCGGGACCCGGAGCAGGGGCCTCCAGCAAGACCAAGGTGAGCTGGGGCTCCCCAGAGAATCTGCTCTAACCCAAATGGGGGAGTCAAACCCCAGACCTGGCAGATCAGCTGGCACAGCAGTCTGTATGGCACCAACCTCACTGAAGAATTACCAGCGTTAAACTTTTGTCTGTCCCTCTCCAGCAGAGTCCAGACTTCTATCACATGCCTTATTGAAGGTCCATTTCTATAACCTGTTCAGCCTCAGATCTCTTGTGCCTGGTACCATGCCTGGCACATACACAGGGATGCTCAATAAATGTTTATTCACTGAATTAGTAGAAGAATGAATAAAAAGACACCAAGAGGCCCAGTAGCACACAAAGATGTACATGATGTCATTGTTATCATTTTTAAATATTTTATATATTTAAAATTTTTTCTAGAATGTTTTCTTTCTTTTCTTTTCTTTTTCTTTGGTACTGGGGATTGAACTCTGATCCTTGCTCTTGCGCAGCAGGCTGCGAAACCACTGAGCTAAATCCCTGGGCCCATATTTTCTTTCTAAATAGAGAAAATCAGGAGAGAGCCAGAGAGAAATAAAACCAAAAAAAAAAAAAAAAGCATGTTTATGAGCTGAGTCTGGTGTATACATCTGTAATCCCAGCACTCTGGGATGCTGAGGCAGGAGGATCACAAATTTGAGTCCAGCCTGGGCAACTTTGCCTTTTAGCCAGACCCTGTCTCACAATAAAAATAAAAAAATGCTGGGGATATGGCTCGGCACAAAGGTCCTGAATTCATTCAGCACTCTGGAGGCTAAGGCAAGAGGATCGCTGCGAGTTCAAGGCCAGTCTGAACTACACAGTGAAACCTTTCTTAAAAATCCAAAAATAATAATAATAAAATAAAAATATGTGTATACATAAGAAGCTTCAGGATAAAGTGCAGATTTTTTTTTTCAGTTCTGGAGATTGAACCCAGGGTCTTCACATTGAGCTACATCCCCAGCCCATTCTTTGTATTTTATTTATTTTATTTTATTTTATTTTATTATTTTATTTTATTTTTTTGTTTTTGTTTTTTGGTACTAGGGATCGAACTCGGGTCCTTGTGCTTGTGCAGCAGGCAGTGAAACCACTGAGCTAAATCCCCGACCCCCGTTTTTTGTATTTTAAACCTTGAGACAAGGTCTCACTAAGTTGGCTAAGTTGGTAAATTGCCCTGACTGGGCTCAGCTCGAACTTACAGTCTTCTTACCTCAGCCTCCAGAGTAGCGGGATAACAAGCATGCACTGTCACCCCAGGCTACAGAATATTAAAGTGAGACCAGACACACACAGAGTCAAATCCTGAGCTGCCATCTTAAACTCTATGTCTATGACCCCGGACTTGCATCTCTCAGCCTCTCTGAATTCCAGTTCTCTCTGATTTCCTGTTTCTGAAAGACCATGACTAATACCAGAAAGAGTTAAATCCTAACTCTCCCGACACTGACATGAAAGTGTCTGTGACCTGGAGGATTCGAGACCTTCATTTGTTCTCTGCTGCATTAAGTATACCCTGCGGACAAATGAGAATAGAACAGAGCGTTCAGGCTGGGAGCTGAGGACCCCCTTGTGTGTTCTCCCAGGAAGCAGCCATCATCTTGGGGAGCCCAGGAAGAGACTGGGGAACTGGGTGCAGGCGAGACGCAGCCCCAACCGGGGAGTAAGCTCAGGGTGCTGCCTTCCAGGCCCCATGCAACCCTGAAGAACTGCAGCAGCCAGGGACAGAGACCAAGGACCAGCAGGGAAGACTGCACAAGCCAGGGACTGTGGAGGACCAGCCCCTTGAGAGCAGCCAGGTAACCCTGGAGACCTGGCCTGACCCACCCCCATGGGAAATGACAGGGGGCCCGGGTTGCCGGGTCGCCATCCAGGTGCACTTGGGAGCACATACCAAAGGCGTTTCATCTTGATTCCAGAGGGGTGCACAGGGGGTCACCGGAGCTGGGGACAGGGTAGAGATGAGGTTTCATGTACATCAGTACACAGATTTCTGCACACCATGACATCCTGGAAGCTGCTTGTGAATTGCAGACCTTGTGGTATCGTCCAAGACATGGTCAGACAATGGTGCCCTTTCCAAAGTTATTTAACTAAAAAATTCCTTTTCACTTATTTTTAAGATTTTTTTAACAACTTTAGTAGGATACAATTAGCATATACTTGCATGCATTTCAAGGTTACATTTTGATGTCTTGACATACAAAGAGTGTTCAAAATATACAGTAAATATTTAAAAAAACTATTACAGTAAAAGACACACTGCCATTAATTCCCCTCAAAATACTCCCCCTTGCATTAGACACACTTATCCCATCATTCTTTTGTTTGTTTTTTGTTCTTTGAAACAGTGTTCTGAGCTATATAATTTAGGCTGGCCTTGAACTTGCAGTGATCTTCCTGCCTCAACCTTCTGAGTCTTGGATCACAGACATGTGCCACCATGCCCAGCTATCCCATCATTTTTGTCACTTTCTGAAGGAGTTCTGGAAGTCCTCTTTTGTGAGTGTCTTGATCAAATATATGGTGATCAAATATGTTGAGCAAATGTATGGTGACTGCAGCTACCTAGTGCCATCCAATGGAAAGGCTTGTAAGAAGCTTACCGTGTGTCCTCAACCACCTTATTCCCTGAATCTGGCACTGTGCAATTTCTGGCTCTTCTCCTAAGTCAAAATGACTGTGAAAGGTAAATGTTTTGAATCGATTCAGAACATCAAGACAGCCACAACAGAGTAACTAAAGACACTCATGAAAGAGGACTGCAGAACTGCTTCAGAAAGTGTCAGGAAAGGTGGGATAAGCATGTTCAAAATGATAGGACTATTTTGAGGAAGATTAATAGCAATGTGTCTTTTCCTGTAATAAAATTTTTAAAAAGTTTTTAACATTGACCATATTTTGCGATCGCACCTTATCTGTCTACACCAAGGAACCCCAGTCCCCCCATCAGGAGGATAAGCAGGTCTGCTGAGCCCCAACTCTGGCCTGGACCTGCCCTCATTCCTTCTATTACCCCTCTCCCCTTCCCATGAAACACTCCCTATCACGACAGATTCATCCATATTCCCTGGAATGTTTCCCTCAGTGGACTTCTGAAGTATACACCCCTTTTGTCTGGCTTCTTTCTTTTAGTGTGGCTATTCTGAGAATCATCCAATTCTTTTTTCTTGCTGATGCTGAGTAGCATCCTGTTGTGTGGGTTTGTCACAATGTCTTTATGCATTCACTTATTGATGGATATCCAGGTTGTTTCCAGTTTTTTGTTTGTTTGTGGCCCAGGGCCTCTGAGCTGTAACCCCCAGCCCTTGTTTCTAGATTTTGCTATTAGAAATCAAACATCTATGCACATCTGGGTCCATTTGGACACAGACTTTCAGTTCTCTTGAGTAAATACTAGGAATGGAGTGGATCACATGCTATGAGCATGTTTAACTTATTAAGAAACGGCCCAAAGTAAACCAAGCGGTCTACAAGTTTATGTGCCCACCAGCAATGAATGAGAATTCCACATCCTCCCCAGACTTAGTATGGTCATCTTTTTAATTTAAATATTCAAATAGGTATGCAGTAGAAATTCACTGTGGTCTCAATTTGCATTTCCCTAATGAATAATGAGGTCTGATATGGAGCATCTTTTCATGAGCTTATAGGCACATTTGTATATTTTCTTTGGAGAAATGTTTATTCAAATACTTTGTCCATTATCTTAATTGGGATCAGTCTTTTATTGTGCAGTTCTAGATTTTGGTTGTTTGTTTGTTGCTTTTCAGTACTGAGGATTAAGCCCAGGGTCTTCAAAATTGTAGGCAAACACTCTGCCACTGAGCTACATCCCCAGCTCTTTTAAAATTTTATTTTGAGTCTCAGTAAATTGCCTAGACTGGCCCCAAACTTGTGATCCTCCTGCCTCAGCCTCCTAAGCAGCTGGGAATACAGGTATATGCTACTGCACCCAGCTTGTAAGCATTGTTTTAAAATTTTTAATTAATATGTACTAATAAAACATATAAAGTTTAAAAGTTGTATTAGTGCATATTAACTATACAGCACAATGGGTTTCATTTGGGCATATCTGGGTACATGGTATATCATACCTTGACTTTCACTCTGTCGTTACTCCCTTCCTCCCCTTTCTCCTCTCCCTCCTCCCCTTCCTCATCTCTAAATAGTTTTTCTTCTACTCTCCTGTCATCTCCCCCCCAACTCTAGCTTCCTCATAAAACAGAAAGCATGGGATTTTGACTTTCTGAGTCTGGCTTGTTTCAATTGACATGATCTCCAGTTCCACCCATTTTTCTTTTTTCTTTTTGGTACCAAGGACCTTGTGGTTTCGAGGCAGGCTGCGGAACCACTGAAGTAAATTCCCAGCCCTCCACCCATTTTTCTTGAAATGAGATGACTTTGTTTTTTATGGCTGAATAATACTCCACTGTGTGTATTTTTTATATCCTGGATACTCAACTCTTATCAGATATCTGACAATTTTTTCTTCCGTTCTATAGGCTGTCTTTTCACCCCTTGCTTTTGTAGTACTAGGGATCAAATCTAGGGACACTGCCATTAAGCTATGTCCTTAGACCTTGTTTGTTTTGAGACAGGCTACAGCATTGCCTTGGTGGGACGAGAACTTGTGATTCTCCTGTCTCAGGCACTCTCAGTGCTAGGATTTTGGGCAAGGGCCACTGCAGCCAGCACCCTCTCTTTTTTTGGTACCAGGGATCGAACTTGGGACCTTGCACTTGCAAGGCCGGTGACAGAGCCACTGAGCTAAATCCCCAGCCCTCCTCTTTTTTAAAAAAAATTGAGTTCTTTTCTTATTTTTGACTTTTGGAGTTCTTATCTATTCTGGTGTTTTTGTTTTTGTTTTGTTTTTTTGGTACTGGGGATCAAACTCAGGTCCTTGAGCTTACGAGGCAGGCAGCAGAAACACTGAGCTAAATCCCCGGCCCTCTTATCTATTCTGAAGAGAAGTGATTTATCAAAAAAAGAAGTGATTTATCAGATATTTGATTTAAATATTTTCTCCCAATCTGTGACTTGTCTTTTCCATTATTTTAACAGTGGCTTTCAAAGAGTAGAAATTCTTAATTTTGATGGAGTCTGGCTTATCAATTTTCTCTTCTCTGGCTCCATCTTTTTATGTTATGTAGTAGTTTAGAAATGTTTGCTTAACTCAAGTTCACATAGGATTTTCTCCTATTTTGTTTAAGAAGTGTTATAGTTGTAGGTTTAACATTTAGGTTTATGCTCCATTTTGAATCAATTTTCTTGTATTTTGTGAGTTTTTGATCAGAGTTCTTTTTTTAGCATGTGGCTCTCCAATTATTCCAGCATCATTTGATGAAGACTAAAGTTTTCCCCAGTGAATTTCTACTTTAGTCAAAAATCAGTTTACTACATCTCTATTAGTCTGTCTAGACTCTCCTTTCCCATTCTCTTCATAATTTAATTTTTTTGTGGTACTGGGGATCAAATCCAGAGCCACACGAATGCTAGGCAAGTGTTTTACCACTGATACCTCCAGACCCTGTAACCTCTGTTTTGTCCCATTTATTTATCTATCCTTATTCCAATTTTACACTGCTTTAATTATAATAGCTTTATCACAAGTCTTATATGGGTTAATGTGAAAACACTCTTGTTTAAGGAATGCATGGAAGATTCTTGTCTTTGAAATATCCCTTGGGAAATCAAAGGGTACAATCTTCTGGAATCCCAGCACGGTGGGACACTGAGGGCAGGAGGATCAAAAGGTCGAGCCCAGCCTGAGCAACTTACCAATTTAATGAGGCCCTGTTTTAAAACAAATAAACAAAAAATTTAAACAGGTTGGAGGGTGTAGCTCCATACAAGGGCCATGGGTTCAATTCCAGTACTGCCAAAAAGCAGTGATGTGTTTAGGGGGGCCTTCCTGCTTTTCCAGGGTCCTGTTCCCCCTCCCCAAGGAAGTATGGGGGCCTCTTGTTGGCTATGGCTTCTCTGGGCCTTGATGCTTCATCCCTCCCAGGAGGGGACCCATGCTGTTCAGTGGGGTGCAAGGAGAGCTCAGTCAGATGACATCCACAGCACCTGCACCATGGCAAGGATGTGATCTCTGGTCTCCCTGTGAGTGCTGGGGTTCACTGGGAACCAGGATAGGACTTTTCATCTCTGGTGTCTTTGTCCTTGGCAGGACCCCAAGTGCCTGTCACCAGGTCAGCAGGCAGTGAATGGCTTGGGCACAATGCATCTGACAGTGCCTTGCTGTGCCCTGGACAGCCATGTGCACCCCCTAGGAGAGGACCCCCTCAGAGAGGCTGGCAACCCACGCATCAGGCCACAGGAGGCTCTGCCAGAGCCCAGTGCAGGGGGGCGTGAGGGCAGCTCCCAGGGAGCAATGCACTCAATGCCCTTGGCGACGGCTGAGGAAAAGACAGCCATGTCCCTCTTGCCATCCACACTGGGACCTAAAGCCCCCCAGGAAGGGTAAGTCACCCTCCACTGCCATCCCCTGCCCTGATCCCTAGCCTTGCCAAGTCGCTCTTCTGCTAAGGTCCAGGTGTCATTGGGGTGAATTAAGTCCCGATTGCCCCTGACTGGCTGAGCTTGGGTAACCCTTCCCCCTCTAGGCCTCAGTTTCCCCATCTGGACAATAGCTTTAAAACCAGAACTCTGTTCTGCAGGATGGGAGGGAGGGAGGGCCCTGAGGGGATGAGAAGTCCGAGGGTCGAGGTGTGGGCAGTGAGACCAAGCGTCTTGGGGCCTGAGAGTGGGTGCAGGGGGCTCTGAGCAGAGCCTCTCCCTGACCTGGGGTTTCTTCCCTATTTAACTTGGTTTTTTTGGTACCGGGGATCGAACTTGGGTCCTTGTGCTTGCGAGGAAGTTGGCAGAACCTCTGAGCTAAATCCGGGACCCTTTCTTCCCTATTTAGAGGGGAGGCTGCCGAGACCCAGCCAGCACCAAGGCCTCTTCCCCTAACAGTAAGACGGGAATGGGGACAGAAATGGGATGGGAGGGGCCTGAGGAGGAAGGGGAGACCAAAATGCGACAGTACTGGGAGTCAAGTGGAGAAGGCATGAGTGTGAGCCTGTGCATGAGAGTGCCCACATATGTACATACACACGCTTGCACACCTGTGTGCGAGGATTCTGTGACACACTGCTTGTAGCCCGTGGGTCCATCCCAGGGCATGGCTCATTCCATATCAGTGTGGCTCCTTCTGCTATCTGCCCTCAGCCACAGCCCCCAATCCTCAGAGGCCCTGAGCTTCTGGAAGCTTCTGGCAGCCATCCCTACCTCTGCCAGCTCTGCCACTTCCTGGCTCTGACTCCACCTGAGCCACTCGCACATACACAGCTGGCCAGGTCATTGTCACACTCTTCCCACACCTGCCCTGTCTCTGCTGTGGCCCTTGGCAACACCCAGCCCTGGGTGCTTGCACCCAGCCCCACCCCAAGCAGCTCAAGGCTCTGTTTTGTTGGCTTCCCTTCAAGTGAGAATCACTCATGTCATCTGCTCCTGGCCATCCTCAGTGGTTCCCTGGCCATGCTGCCTTCCTCTCAGCTCCAGGAAGTCCTTGCACAACAGTGTTCTCAAGCACCTCATCTTGCGTCATGTGTCATTGAAAGATGACAAGGACCAGCTGAGTGGAACCATGTCCAAAGCCACCCCCTTGCTGTCTTTATTGAGTCACTGTACAAGCTGTGAAGATGGTTACTGATCCCCCAACTACTGGTCCCCTACTTCTATATTAGATTCCACACCACTCTCCCCATTGGTACAGAATTGTTCCCATCAGCACACAAGTACACCACCATTCCTCTCTCTGCCCATGCTCCCCTCTCCCATGGCCTCCTCCTGCCTCCCACAGTTTCAGCCACTTTTTAAAATTTCAAGACACTACCTCACTAAGTTGCTAATTTCCCAGGCTGGGATTGAACTTGCAGTCTTCCTGCCCTGGCCTCCTAGAGTGATGGGGTTATAGGCATGAGCCACAGTGTCCGGTTTATGGTCTCCTTTCTTCACTGTTTTTCCCAGCACAATCCCTCCAGAGTCTTCACCATCACTCATTCTAGCTCAGCCCTGGGGCCTAGAGTGGCCGGAACTTTGGAAGGCTGGTAGCCCTGCGAGGCCATGGGAAAGGGAATGACAGTGAGGCTGGACTCATGGCCACCACCTGGGGTCCCTGCCATTACAATGCAGTGGAAGCCACAGAACTCCCATCCATATTTGTTGGCGGTACTAGGGTTTGAACCTAGGGATGCTGTAATACTGAGCTACATCCCCAGCCCTTTTTAGTTTTGGTTTTGAACATTTTTTATTAATATATGTTTGCAGTACATGGTTACATTCATCATGGGGAGTTGGTACATGTAGATGTACATGTACAGTTTAACTCTTTTTACTTCCCCTTTCCTCACTTCCCCTCCCTTCTCCATCTCTAGATCCCTTCTCATTAGCAAAAGGTCCATTGCCTTGTTTCTGATTGTCCATCCTTTATTTTGCTCTTTAAATTACTTATACTTCAGGTTTCTCATATAAGAGAAACCATGTGATATTTAAGCTTCTTTGTCTGTTTTGTTCCACTCAACATTATGGTCTCAAAAATACCCTTTATAAGGGCCAGGGATTTAGCTCAGTGGTGCCACCACCTTCCTCGAAAACGCAAGGTCCTGAGTTTGATCCCTAGTACAAAAACAAACAAACAAACCAAAAACCCTTTATGATTTCAAGGTCCATCCATTCTCCTACAAATGGCTGAAATATGTCCTTTTTATGGCAGAGTAGTACTCTACTGTGTGTAAATACCATATTGTCTTTTTCATCCATCTGTTGATGCACCTATAGGCCACTTCCAAGATTTAGCTATTATGAATTGTGCTGCTATAGACATGGGCATGCATGGGGCCAGGGATTTAGCTCAGTGGTGCTGGTGCCTTCTTTGCAAGTGCAAGGTCCTGAGTTTGATCCCCTGCACAAAAAAAAAAGAAAAGCAAAACATGGGCATGCATGTATCACTATAATATGATGTCTTTAACTCTTATGGGAAGATACCCAGAAGTGAATAGCTAGACTGAATGGAATTTATACTTTTAGCTTTTTGAGGAATCTCCATACTGATTTCCACAGTGGTTGTACCAGTTTACATTCCCACCAATACGATAGAAAGGTCCCCCTACCACCATCAAAGCCTTGCCAGCATTTATTATTTATTTGAGTTCTTGATGACAGCCATTCTTTCTGGAATAAGATAGAATTTTAGTATTGTTTTAATTTGCATTTCTTTAATCCCAGCCCTTTTAATTAATTTATTTATTTATTTTTGTTTACTTTTTCGTATCAGGGATCAAACTCGGGTCCTTGTGCTTGCAAAGCAGGCGGTAGAACCACTGAACTAAATCCCCAGCCCTCCTTTTTATTTTTTGAGACATTATCTCATTAAATTGCTCAGGCTGGTCTTGAATTTTGATACTCCTGCTTTAGCCCAGAGTGCTGGGATTACAGGTGTGGGCCTCCACGCTCGGCTGTTTTTGGCTTGCTTGTTTGTTACAGTATTGGAGACTGAACTCAGAGCCTTCACACTGAGCTACATTCTAGCCCTATTTATTTATTTATTTATTTATTTATTTTTTGGTATCAGGGATCGAACTCGGGTCCTTGCGCTTGCGCAGCAGGCAGCGAAACCACTGAGCTAAATCCCCAGCCCCCCTTTTTATTTTTTAAATTACTTACTAAGTCACTAAGTTGCCCAGGCTGGGCTTGAAGTTGCAATCCTCCTGCTTCAGCTTCCCAAAGCGCTGGGATTACTGGCTCACACCACTAAGTGCAGCCGGCATTTTTCTTTAATTCAGGAAAATAATCAAAGTTGTCTTTGCCAGAGGGAAAGCTGGGTGTCCCTTCTGGGCTGCAGAACACTCAGCTACTTGTATTTTTTTGGGGGGGGGTACCGGGGATTGAACTGGGGTCCTTGTGTTTGCCCCCGGGGTGGGACTGGGCCCTACAGCTCTTGGTGGGAGGTGAGAGCTAAAGGGGTGTTTGGTACATCCTGCAGAGGCTTAGGGAGCGAGGATCCTGAGAAGGAACTTTGTGGGACAGTCTGGCCAGATGGAGGCATCCAGGTCCCCTCTCCTGTCCCCAGGAGGGGAGGGACATCAGTGACAGGAGGGAGCCAGGCCACACACAGGAGTTTGAGAGCCCTGGGAATCCCCAGCCCAGCTTCATGGAGTGCTTGCTGGAGACCGAGGAGGAGGAAGTCGCCCACCGCAGGGCCTGGAAGTCTCGGGCCCTGACAGCCTGGAAGTCTCCTAGGACCCTGATGCCTGGGCCCACCTCAGTCCCCATCAGCCACTCAGCCCCTCTGACCCTGCCCCAGACCCCTACCTCAGCCCCTCCTACCACCTGGGTGTGGGCCCGGCCCCCTGCCGCCACCCTCATGGCAGCCCTGGTCCCAGCCATGGTGCCCGACCTCGTCCTGTGGGCTCCCATCCCAGACCTAGGCTGGAGGTGGACAGAGCTGCCCAAGAGCCGCAAGTGGAGCCTGAGCTGTGCCAGGCCATGGTAGGGGCCACTGCCAGCCACTAGGCCCCCAGGCTCAGAGCCTCACCCCGGCAGCCCCTGCCCCTCTCTCTGCAGACTCTTCCTAGGTCTCTCCCTATCTCCTTCCCACTCTGATCCCTGTCCCCTCCTACCCATGCCCCATCTCGGCCCTCTGCCTCACTGGGCCCAGTCTGTCCTGTGTCCTCGGCAGGCAGGAGCCGGAAGAGCATGGCCTGCTCGGACTGTGTCAGGGCTGGAAGGAGCAGGCCGAGGAGCACCTCATACTGAAGCAAGAGGAAGGTGGGAGTCTTTTGCACATGCCACACCCTCACACCACTGCCCAGCTGCCCCACAGCCCTGCACAGTGGTCCTGGGTTTGCCTGCACTTGGCCCAGAGCAAGGTGGGAGGTGGACCCAAGCCCACGAGAAATTCATCTTACTAATCACAGGCCCCATTAGGTCCTGTGATTCAGGGTCCAGGGCTCTGCCAGCTCCAGAGTGGCCTCTACAGAGGGACAAAGGCCCTGCCTGCAAAGCTTCCAGGCCAGTCTGCCTCCCGACCCCAAGTTGCTGTGTGCATCCTCTTGAGGGCCCGCATCTGGGCCCCCTACATCCTAAGCAGTCCCTCCCCATCGAGCAGGGCTGCCAGTCCCCCACAGTCCCCCACAGTCCCCCATCTCCCACTGCACCCTACCCGATCCCAAATGTGAAGGTCTGAACCCCTGCCCTAGGGAAGGCCCTGGGCCCTCAGCTCCCTGTCATCCTGGGGCTGTACCCCGTTCTGCTCCCCCTTACCCTGGCTAAAGAAGAATGGATATGTGCCCAACCCACTCCTCCCCAGAGTCTGGGGCCCTCCTGGCGGGAAAGAGTGACCCCTTCCTCGCCTTCTTGGCTGTGTCACTGGCTCCTGTGACCTCACCTTGCAGCTCACAGCTCACTCCAGTCCCTCGGGCAGGGGCTTTTCTAAGTGTATTCTCACATATAGTTTGAGCTGCTTCTGACAAAGTGCAACTTTGACAGGAAGACTCAGGGTTCCCAAGACTGTCTGTCCCTGTCTGTGAGCACAGAGCTGAGTGCCCTGCCTCCTGGGCTTTTTTTTAGGGGGTAGTAAGACAGGGTCTCGCTATGTACTCAAGCTGGCCTTGAACTCGCTGTATAGCCCAGGCTGGCCTGAACTCACAGGGATCCTCCTGTCTCAGCCTCTAGATTGCTGGGACTATAGGTGTGCACCACTATACCTGCCCCCCTGGGCATTTTGATCTTTGGAGTTTGGGTTTTGAACCGGGGATTGCAGGGGCCAGGGATTTAGCTCAGTGGTTTCGTCGCCTGCTGCGCAAGCGCAAGGACCTGAGTTCGATCCCTGGTACCAAAAAAAGATCAGTGAACTGGGGATTGTAAACTGGGGTTCTACCACTGACCTATACCCCAGCCCTCCCCTGGGCATTCAGAGCAGTCACAGCTGCTTCTGACAGTCCCTTGGTTTCTTCCTTTAGGGGCTGCCTGCCTATGGCAGGTCAACTCTTATCCCAAACCCAGGCCCAGCTGCCTGCTTCCACATTCCAGTTCTTTGTCAACAACTTGGAGAAGTCAGAGTCTGGTATGAGCCAGGTGCTGACCTAATGCATGGGCTGCAGGAAACCCTAATACTATGGGTTACAGGAGGGAAATCGAGGCTCAGGAGAGCTGTGCCTTGGCCCATGGGACCCATGTGGGTCAGCTCAACTGCTATAACATAGTGGAATTTTTTTTTTTTTTTTTGGTACCGGGGATCGAACTCAGGTCCTTGCACTTGCGCAGCAGGTGGCGAAACCACTGAGCTAAATCCCTGGCCCATCAACTGCTATAACAAAGTGCCACTGACTGGTTGGCTAGAAGTCCAAGGCTGAGGCACTGGCTGAGCTGGTCTCAGGGCCTCTCTTTGGCTTGTGGGCAGCTGTGCCCTCTCAAGGCCTTTCTGTTGTGCACACACACTCCTGGCATCTTTGTGTGTCCTAATTTCCTTTTCCTATAAAAGGACACCAGTCAGACTGGTGTAGGGCCCACCTTCATGCCTTATTTTATCTTAATCACCTCTTTAAAGCCCCCTCTCAGCTGTGCATGGTGGTCCATACCTGTAATCCCAGAACTCAGGAGGCTGAGGCAGGAAGATTGAAGGTTCAAGGTCAAACTGGGCAATTTAGCCAACTGTCTCAAAAAAGCAAAACAAAAGGCCTTCTTTCCAAATAATCACTGGGGGTTAGGGGTTCAGTATATGAATTTTTGGGGGACAGACCCCAGCCCACAATAGTAACACAGGTTATTACATGGCCCAGCCAATCACAAGGCTGTGCTGACCTGGATATTGCTATGGGCAGAAAAAACCCATGCTGTGGGTGGAGAAACCCCAGGAGGAATGCTTTGACCTTGTGTCTCAGCTGCTCTGGAACTTTTTTAGCACCTTATGCTCTGCTCTGGTCCAGAACGCCAAAGCTATGCTAGGAGCCAGGTTTGTGCAGAGCAGCATCTGCAGACACCAAGGTCAAGGGCACAGACTGACAGCCAGAGACCTGTGTGGTCTCTGCCTTGATTTCCTCATCTTTCCAGATGGCACAAGCATCCTACTCCTACAAGAATGATGTAAAGGTTAAATGAGAACTTGGTACAAAGAGCTTAGCCAGTGTCTGGCATGGAGTATGTGCCCTAAAGTGGGGGTGCTCCTGTCACCACATAGGCCCCTAGTGAGCTCAGTTCTAGTCACACCAGCTGGACATCTAGCCTGGCCTCAGAGTAGAGAAGGTAGTGAATCCAGGGAGCCAGGCAGCCCCCACTTTTGCTCTTCTAATTAGCGCTGCCTCCCACCCAGCCCCTGGTGATAGAGGTCGTGGCGGGGGGAGATAAGGGGGGGACACAAGAGGTGCCCGTCCCTCTCCACAGCCTTCCGCAGCTACTTTGAGATCTTCAATGGCCCTGACGAGGTGGACGCCCAGAGCCTGAAGAACATCCTGGTTCACTGCATTTTCTTCTCTCTCTCTCTCTCTCTCTCTCTCTCTCTCTCTGGTACCGAGGATCAAACTCAGGTCCTTGCGCTTGCGCAGCAGGCGGTGAAACCACTGAGCTAAATCCCCCGGCCCCCATGCTGCATTTTCAGCTTTCTCCTTGCTGGGTTACAATGCCCGACCCCCACAGCAGGAAGGAGGAGAGGTTTGTTTGGGCTCGTGGTTTCAGCCCATAGCTGCCTGGGTCCCAGGCAGAAAGGAGTGGCAGAAGAACCGGGGGTTTAGCTCAGTGGTTTCGCTGCCTGCTTCGCAAGCACAAGGACCCGAGTTCGATCCCCGGTACCAAAAAAAAAAAAAAAAGAACCGGGGATTTAGCTCAGTGGTTCCA